TGTTTTTTACCGCTGAGTAAAACTCTAATGTGTATATGTTCCACACCTTTTTTAACCATTCTTCTATTGAGGGGCACCTAGGCTGCTTCCAGGTTCTGGCTATTACAAATAGTGCTGCTATGAACAAAGTAGAACAAATGCTTTTGTAGTATGATAGGGCATCTCTTGGGTATATTCCCAAGAGTGGAATTGCTGGGTCCTGAGGGAGGTTGACTCCCAGTTTCCTGAGAAACTGTCACACTGATTTCCACAGTGGCTGTACAAGTTTACATTCCCACCAACAATGGATGAGGGTTCCCCTCATTCCACATCCTCTCCAGCATAGGCTATCAGTGGTGTTTTTGAGTTTGGCTATTCTGACAGGTGTAAGATGATATCTCAAAGTTGTTTTGATTTGCATTTCCCTGATCGCTAAGGAGGTTGAGCATGACCTTAAGTGCCTTTTGGGCACTTGAAGTTCATCTGTTGTGAATTCTCTGTTCAGATCAGTACCCCATTTTTTAACTTGGTTAATTAGGGTTTTAGTGTCTAGTTTCTTGAGTTCTTTGTATATTTTGGAGATGAGACCTTTGTCTGATGAGCGGTTGGTGAAGATCTTCTCCCAGTCGGAAGGTAGCCTTTTCATCTTACTGACAATGTCCTTTGCTTTACAGAAGCTTCTCAGTTTCAGTAGGTCCCATTTATTCATTGTTTCTCTTATTGTCTGCACTCCTGGGGTTCTGCTTAGGAAGTGGTCTCCTGTGCCTATATCTTGTAGACTACTTTCCACTTTCTCTTCTACCAGGTTCAAAGTGGTCGGATTAATGTTGATGTCTTTAATCCATTTGGACCTGAGTTTTGTGCATGGTGATAGATATCGATCTATTTTCATTCTTCTACAGGTTGACATCCAGTTATGCCAGCACCATTTGTTAAAGATGCTATCCTTCTTCCATTGTATACCTTTAGCTCCCTTGTCAAAAATCAGGTGTTCATAATTTTGTGGGTTAAAACCTGGGTCTTCTATTCGATTCCATAGGTCGACTTCTCTGTTGTTATGCCAATACCAAGCTGTTTTCAACACTGTTGCTCTGTAATAGAGTTTGAAGTCAGGGATGGTAATGCCTCCAGAAGTTCCTTTATTGTATAAGATTGTTTTGGCAATCCTGGGTTTTTTGTTTTGCCATATAAACTTGATTATTGTTCTCTCAAGGTCTGTGAAGAAGTTTGGTGGGATTTTGATGGGAATTGCATTGAATCTATAGATTGCTTTTGGTAGAATTGCCATTTTTACTATGTTGATTCTCCCAATCCAAGAGCAGGGGAGGTCTTTCCATTTTCTGGTATCCTCCTCAATTTCTTTCTTCAAGGACTTAAAGTTCTTGTCAAATAGGTCTTTCACTTCCTTGGTTAGAGTAACCCCAAGATATTTTATGCTATTTGTGGCTATCATGAAAGGTGATGTTTCTCTGATTTCCCTCTCTGCTTCTTTGTCCTTTGTGTATAGGAGGGCAACCGATTTTTTGGAGTTGATCTTGTATCCTGCCACATTACTAAAGGTGTTTAACAACTGTAGGAGTTCTTTGGTAGAGTTTTTGGGGTCGCTTATGTACACTATCATATCGTCTTCAAATAACGAAAATTTAACTTCATCCTTTCCAATTCGAATCCCCTTGATCCCCTTATGTTGTCTTATTGCTATTGGTAGAACTTCAAGCACTATATTGAAGAGGTATGGAGAGAGTGAACAGCCTTGTCGTGTTCCTGATTTTAGTGGAAAGGCTTTGAGTTTCTCTCCATTCAATTTGATGTTAGCTGTCGGCTTGCTATATATTGCTTTTATTATATTCAGGTATGATCCTCGTAAACCCAATCTCTCCAACACCCTTATCATAAATGAGTGTTGAATTTTGTCAAATGCTTTTTCAGCATCCAATGAAATGATCATATGATTTTTTTCTTTCAGTTTATTTATATGATGGATTACATTGATAGATTTGCGTATGTTGAACCAACCCTGCATCTCTGGGATGAAGCCCACTTGATCATAATGGATGATTATTCTAATGTATTCTTGGATTCGGTTTGCCAGTATTTTATTGAGTATTTTTGCGTCAATGTTCATGAGTGAGATTGGTCTGTAATTCTCTTTCTTGGTTGTGTCTTTGTGTGGTTTTGGTATCAGAGTAACCGTAGGTTCATAAAAAGAGTTTGGCAATGATTCTTCTGTTTCTATATTGTGAAATACATTAAGGAGTATAGGTATTAGCTCTTCCTGGAAGTTCTGGTAGAATTCTGCATTGAAACCATCTGGTCCAGGACTTTTTTTGGTAGGGAGATTTTTGATAACAGCTTCTAATTCTTCACGACTGACAGGTCTATTTAGATTGTTCACCTGTTCTTGGTTCAACTTTGGTATATGGTACTTATCTAAAAAAAATGTCCATTTCTTTTACATTTTCCAACTTTGTGGCATATAAATTTTCGTAATAAGATCTAATGATTCTCTGAATTTCCTCTGTGTCTGTGGTTATGTCCCCCTTTTCATTTCTGATCTTATTAATTTGCATGTTCTCTCTCTGCCGTTTGATTAATTTGGATAGGGGTTTGTCAATCTTGTTGATTTTCTCCAAGAACCAGCTTTTTGATTCATTGATTCTTTGGATCGTTTTCTGTGTTTCTATTTTGTTGATTTCAGCCCTCAGTTTGATTATTTCCAGTCTTCTAGACCTCCTGGGTGTATCAGCTTCTTTTTTTTCTAGAGCTTTCAAGTGTGCTGTTAAGTCTCCAATGTGTGCTTTCTCCATTTTCTTTAATTGGGCACTTAGTGCTATGAACTTTCCTTTTAGCACTGCTTACATAGTGTCCCATAGGTTTGAGTATGTTGTGTCTTTATTTTCATTAAATTCAAGGAAGAGTTTAATTTCTTTCTTTATTTCTTCCTTGACCCAGGGGTGATTCAGTAGTTGGCTGTTCAACTTCCATGAATTTTTTGGCTTCTTGGGAGTAGCACTGTTGTTGAATTCTAACTTTAATCCATGGTGGTCTGACAAGACACAGGTGGTTACTAATTTTTTTTGTATCTGTGAAAGTTTGCTTTGTTACCCAGGCAACTTCCTGGAATTCTGAATCTCTAATTGTCACATAAAGAACCTTTGTTATTAAAACATCTTAAAAACCATATCTGTAGATCTCTGTAATGTATGAAGATGACCAGTCTTTTTCATCCGGTAATAGTTAGCATTTTTAATATGCAAAACAACTCTTTCTCCATATTGCAAATCGGTTACTATGTTGAGAAGTTCCTTAAAATTCATTAGTACCATAAGATTAGCATATAATTGTGACCTTTAGACAGCATAAGGACTTTGATCTACTTTACTTAAATCTTTTTGTAAACTCACTTTACTGATTTATTTACACCAGTATAGGACTTGAGGGCTCCTACATATTGATGTTTCCTTATAGTGAGAGGAAGGATTCAACTAGTTTTCTTTAGAATTTAAATTCTCTTGATTTTTGATATTTGTTGTTAATCTCTCAAAAAAATACTGCAAACTCTTTTCTAGGGTTCACTTTCTGCCCATAATTTGTCAAGTTCATATTTAGTGAATGATACTACAATTTCTGCTGGGTCTTTTCCTGCTAATTGATAAAGTTTGAATTTTCCTTTTTTAATTAACTCAGACATTTTCCACATAAGTTTTGAATTTTTTACTTGACTTATGTGGGAAAAGATCCATTCTAAGATATCTTCTCTTTGGTTTAAAATTCCTTTAGGGGAATGTTTATCTGGTAATATGACCAGAATGTAACTAAGCTTTGGATCCACCTGATTCATGTGCAATGTGTAATTTCTCTTCCACCACAACCAATTCTCTCCCATCTTCAGCTGGTATTTTCCTGGAATTGTTTAAATCCTTATAACCATTCTAGGGTTTTGACCAAACTACTCAGTTCATCAGTGTTTATCTCAGTAGTGGGCCATAGATAGGAAATGTCTCCTAACAGTCTCTGAAAGTCATTAAGAGAGTGCAATTAATCTCTCCTAATTTGCACCTTTTGAGAGCTAATTTTTTAACCCATTTTAGAGACTAAATAGTTAATAGAATCTTCTTTTTATATTTTTTCAGGAGCAATTTGTCATCCCCAACAAGGCAAATTTTTCTTCTTCAAACATTTTTTCTAAATTTTCTACATTTAAATTAGCTAGTAAGATGTCATGGTAAACTATAGATTGAGGAAATTACCTACATAATCATTACCAGTGGCTGACTTATAAAATATTGACACAGGGTAGGACTATTTAACGTTCCCTTTGAAAGACCTTTCCATTGATATCTCTTAAAGGGCTCAGAAATATTATAAATAGGCACCATGATGGCAAATTTTTCTGTCTTTTTCTTGTAAAGTTATAGTGAAAACACAATATTTTAAATCACTAACTGTAAGAGGCCATTCTTTAGTTAATAAAGAAGGCAAAGGAATGTCAGACTTTAGAGAACCCACTGTTTGAATCACCTTATTAATAGTTCTTATATCTGTTACCATTCTCCATTTTCCAGACTTTTTTTTAAACAACAAATACAGGAGAATTTCAAGGCCTGGTTGACTCTTCTATATGCTGAGCATTTAATTGCTCTTGTACCAGCTGTTGTAAGGCCTGCAGTTTCTCCATTGTTAAGAACATTGCTCAACCCATCAGGTTTATCTGTCAATCATTTTAAAGGTAGAGCTGTTGGTGCCTTTGGAAGATTAGCAGCTGTTTTTCCCTGTTCTTATACAACCTAAATTGTCAGTTAATGTTCTTTATAATACCTTCTTATATTTTTCCCATAAACATACATTAATAATATGGTTTGTTTCTGAGATTGGATGAAAGTTAATTTGAGTATTCCATTGCTGTAGCAAATCAGGTCCACATAATATCATTTCCATGTTAACCACATAGAGTTTTAATTTTTCTTTCTGATTTTCTGGACCTATACCTTTGACCTCTCTCATACTTTGTTTTATCTTAGATAAAGCTCCAATCCATAAAAGCTGAACACCTACTCCCTGAAGAGGACAATTTGGAAGACAAGATTCTGGTGCAGTTGTTGTGACACCCACATCTGTGTTTGAAAGGCCTTCAATGACAATGTAATTTATCTATATTTTTAATTTTGGTCTTTATTAATTTATAGAAGTTTGCCAAAATATTTGCTTTAAAGTTTCTTCTGATATTTTTGTTCTCTAGTCTATAGCTTTTCTATCATCCAGAGCAGCATGGTTTCTTATTATAGGCATAGTTTCTTCAAAGGCTGTGGAAAGGAGTTTTCTTCATGGTTTCAAGAAATGACTGGACCAAATTTGGCATGAGGGCCTGAAAAAGGCTCCTCAAGGAGTTTCCTGATGGTAAAGGGTTACCCTGACTATCCCTTGTTGACCTCATTAGTCTAGTGCTTGCCTGTGCCATACCTTCTGCATAATCCAGAAGAAAGTGGCATCCTGTTGGAATTATGCTCAGAAAAAGAAATGTTTCTAGAAACTTCCTGTTTACAATTCCTTTTTAGGTGATTATGGTTGCCACAATTGAACACTTGACATTTGTTTTTTCTTCAAATCTCTGGAAACTACCTCTCCTATCCAAATATCATCATGGTCATGAAATTAATATTGATTGTATTTTGTACCCATTTCTCCAAGGGTGCAGATCTTGACTTGAATGGCCTAATTACCCTTTTGTCTTGTCCATTGGCATTTTCAAAAGCCAGAGATTCAACTATTCTTGTCTAGCTTCTGAATCTGGTATAATTTTATTTACTGCTGAAGTCAATTTTTGTAAGAAATTCATGAAGGTTTCCTTTGGGCCCTGTATAACTTTAGTAAATGACTCCATTTTCTTTCCTACTTATTCAAATATGTCTCATGCATTCAAAACTGCTGTGTGGGGAAAATCAAGGATGTGGTCATCATATAGAGATTGCCTTTGTACATCAGCAAAATCTCACACTCTAAAAAGGTGGTCTTGGGAGAGTTCCACAGCCCTACTTCATTACTCAATGATCTTAGCCTCATCTTTACATTAAGTATTCTGTTGTAATTGTGGACTAGACTGTGACACTTTAAACAAGTCTCCAGTGTCTAGGGATAATTCTATTACAAGCTGACCATGAGTTTAACATCTGCTTTACAAAAGGCAGGTGCCTGTGATGTGAGACTATTGCTTCCTTGAATCTCCGTAAACATAACATTTCTATAGGAGTCCATTGAACACTTACCCAGTCTTAGAAATATCTGTCATTCAGCATTTGTTCCTGTAAGGTGGATGGATAAATTAAATTTGGTTGTTTGAAATCCTTAGCCTGTTCCCCTCTAATATTATAATGCAATGCTGAAATTGGTTCTCCATTAAATTTCTCTGCCTGAATCTGAAAATCTTTATGATCTGTTTTATTAAGTACTTTTTATGACTGTATTTTTCTTGTTATGTCTAGGGATGTGATATATTCACAGGCATCCTTACCCTCTGGCTCTTAATATCTTCTGTGATTTTTACCTGAACATCAGATTTAAGGGTTTCATTACAGATGTATCAGTTGGTGTTAGGTATCCCACCATCTCTTGCCCTCTGTATTTCGACCAGTTGAAGATTTATTTAATTGTCTCCATCTGGTGTAAAAAGAGGCTTCTTTGAAAGAAGGGTGAGTGCTACTTACATGTATGTAGAAAGAAAAGTATTTAGAAAACAGTCATAAATTAAATTTGGGAGGACATAGAAAGAAGTAAGTCCCTCTCTCAAACCTGCCCTCTACAGTCACAGATAGCTGGCTGGTCAGTTTTGAAGTACCAGGTAAAATTTTCTTCCTGTCAAGTAGGTCTTAAATCCAGTTAGACAGCAATTGGTAACTCTAAGATAAAATGGTCATTATTCAACCAGTCATTGCTGTGGTCCATAGACCTTACAGCAAACTAGAACTATTTATTGCTCCTCTCCCCTGGCAACTCCCAAAACACCTTCAGATAATATGAGTGCTAGCCCTCAAGGAGGCAAGGCACCCTCCAATCCTGGGAGTCAACCAAGGGCAATGACAACAGCCTACATTGTTATAGCTGTCCCTTGGAATCCCCTGTCCAACAACTCCAAAGGAAGCATCTTATTCATGATAGTACTGTTTCCATGGCTGTCAGGTGAAACAGCGTCACTTCAAGTGTTACAGTTTATGTAAACAATATATTTATGTTTTCACATATACACATATCACATATATTTTATATTATGTGTAACTTTATACAAACCTAAGATAATATGACTCCCTATGCTTTATTTAATAACTGATAAATTAGACTTTAAAACAAATCAGAAGAGAAAAGGAAGGCACTTCATTCTAATAAAAAAAAACATTAGCTAGGAAGACATAGCCATCTTAAACATAGATGCATCAAATTCTAGCACATCTGACTTTATAAAAGGCATCTTTCTCTAATCAATTTCTCTATTATATTGTCTTAGTTATATAAAGGTTGTAAAATACATAGATTTATCATTTTTCATACAATACATAAACTTTATTTTGAAAAGCTGACAACCTCGATGAAATTTTTCAAAATAAAAGAAGTGATTACTGAAGCTAATTGGCTTTGTATCTTTTATGATAGCACATCAGAGTTCCCTCAGAAAAAAACTAACTTGGGTTTAATAAAATACCCATTATCATGACTTTTTAAGTATTGACACATTTTCTGTATTATATTCACATTTACTGTCTAAAGTGTTTAGATATTTATTAATATTTGGATAGCACATCCTCTCAATATTTATATATACATTTAATTTCTCTGTAACTATTTAAATGGTAATATAAGTTATTGTACATGATAATCTATAGTTTTCAATATCAACTCTTACACAATTTTACTCAAATATAAGTTTACATTTATATTATGAATTGAATACTAACTGTTACATTTAGAATTTCAAGTGAAAATGAGATCTACAAATCTATGAGTATTTAATCCCAAGTGTTTAGGCATTCTCAAAAAACAGGTCTTAATTGCATTTCTGATATTCTAATACCGAGTAAATATGATGTTAACCTATAAGAGTTTTTACTGGTTAGATGCATGTATACATGTGTAAGTTGCAGAGCTGAATAAGGCTTGGGACAGTAGCAATCAGATAAAAAGAAAGCAGTATTCCTGGGTTCTCTGCTTCAGTTTTTATGTCCAGGTTTCTGCCTTGAGTTCCTGTCTTGACTGTGCTCAATGTTAGTCTGTGATTCAGGGTGGTAAAATAGAATTAACCATGCCCTCTAAAGATGAAGCTGATATCAAATGCTATGTTAAATGAAAATGGTGAAGTGAAGATGAGTTTTCTTTAAAAAACAATTTCATTTACCACCAACTTTTGTATGTATGTATTGCTTCTCTAACTTTTTTGTGTCTGTCTATCGTTATCCATCAATCTATTTCTTCTCTTCTTCCTTTAGAGCTAATTATTTTTAAGTAATGGATATCATAATCACATAAAAGTTATACCCATTATGGAAATTTTAATTACTAATAGGTTAAGAAAACTATCTAGCAAAACTTTTTTTTCAGTTAACCATTTCATGCTGTTTTGGCACTTGAACCAACATCAATCAAAATGCTTCCTTTGTGAACTGACAGGGCTTAGTGTCTTTTCTCATGTGATTATTATTGACCTTGAATTTTTCAGAAGAGTTTTTCAGAATGCCCACACTACATTTTCATTAAATTGAATAAAATACTGAATTCATATTTAAATGGTTACCTAGTTTTGAATTGCAGGTTTTTCATTTTTCTTTGTTATTCCATAGAAGATACAATATGATCTGCATCATTGATATGTATGATACATCTTAATGTGCATATGTGTTGATATTCTGAAAGTGATGATGCTTTAGGAGCAAACTTTCAAAACTTTTCTTTTATGTATGTAAATATAGTGTGAAAATCTGTACGCCAGTCTGAAAGAATCATTGAGTGATATAAAAACACTAAGTGCAATGAAAGTTTGTACTCGGGTAAAATTGATAGTATGTATTTATCAGTAGTATTTTATCTGTGCACAGCTGTCTGCATCTAATTACAATTAACAAGACCTTAGATTTAATAGAATATATTAGTAATAGTCCTGCTTTCAGTGATATATATGAGCATCATATGGTTAGCTTCTGCAAAGGGACAAACTGGTTATTAGATGTCTCAGTTCCTCATAACTATTCAAAAAACGTCACCACAGATTCACTAGTTTGAAATAAAATACATCTTTCTGTCTCTCAGGTAAGTTGGTCTGAAGTTTAAAAAACATGAAGCCTTGTTCAGCTGTAGCTGATCTCCACAGAGCTGCTGTCTTTGTGGTAACTCTACTGAATAATATACCTCCACATCTTCCCCAACCCTAGAGGCACCTACTTTCCTTGGCCCCTTCAGTAGAAATTTTTGTTTGTTCGTTTGTATTTGTTATTGGTTTTGTTTCTTTCTCACATGGAATCATTTTTATACTAATCTTTGGATTTCTTGTTTCATCTATAAGAATCCTAATAACCTCTAACAGTTAAAATGTTGAAAATGACAGAGTCTTTTAAGGACATTTCAAGATACTTCTTTGCATCTGTAAATTATTTATGATGGAGTTGAAACAAACAAATAAAAAAAAATGAAAGAAACCCTTCTCTATCCCTTTCACCAACCAGGAAAGTGTGAACACTATTCAAAATGCCAGTTCTTATGTCTCAGCGCTTTGTACCTATTAATTATAGCATTTTTATGTACCTTGGCTTTAATCTAGGGGTGACTGTCTGGTCTATTGTTGGCAAATGTCAAATGCTTATCTAAAATAATAGTATACAAGGATTATTGCTATTTATATTAATTGTAATGTTTTTGTGGCTATAATTTGCTATGGGGATTACATACTTTAGTTATATGAAGTGGTTTCTGAAGAAAATAAATTTAAAGAATTTGTCATGCACATGAAATGGACTTTTGCTTAGTAGGATTTTTAATGTTCAATAATAATGCTCGTACGATTATGTATTTTAAAAAAAATTGAAACTCTGCCCAGTCTCTTCTTCCTCTTCCCCTTTCTCGCTATCGTTCTGTATTTCCCTCTTTCTCTCTTTCTTGCTTCCTTC